ATTCTATTCTATTCTATTCTATTCTATTCTATTCTATTCTATTCTATTCTATACACGTCTGTTGTTTTACGGTGGAGGCTGAAAATGTAAAGTTAAGATGCGATGGAATCAGGCACACAGTTGACAACCGCTACCCAGATTACATATCGCCACAACCGGGCACTTAACTGTCATGATATTTTCTTAAACCAGGATTTGGTATCAGATATTGGTAAATGACGTGTCAATTAACTCATCTCGTATTTGATTGGTTTTCCTACAGTCTCTTCCTTAGAATAGCAAAACTTCAGCCTGTCCCTCAGTCCAATCCGTTGATTCGATTGGAGAATAGAATCTTCTGTCATTTCAGGAGGATTCTCGATTGGCTACTTGGATTGCCCCCCCCCCGCGTAGCGTCACGCAGCACGTTCGGTTGTGGTCGGTTTCCACGTCAGGGAAAGAGCGGAGCCGGTGTCTGTGGCTCCGAGGCCGTCTTTCTTCGGCTACGGGGGGGCCTCTGGCTGACCTGCCGCCCGAAATGCCGAGACGCCTGTCGACGCCCGCGAAAGCCGGCCCCGTGGTGAACGACGCCGGATGGATGGAAGGGTGAGCGAGGGAAGGAGGGATCCAGGTTCCAGCTGGGCTTAGGCCTGTCTTGCCGGCGGCCGCGGGGTTACCAGCGAGTCCAAAGAGCCGAGCGACGTGGTTTCCCTCCCTGCCGCCTCTGAGGAGAAATTGTTTCCCCTCCGACTACTAGTACCGGCGGCGGGGCGGGGATGTCGGGCGGCTGGAGACCTCCGAGGCTAGGGAGTCTTCCGCGAATCACTAATAAGGGTCCGAAGGTTGAAATCCAATGGTCGAGAAGTAGGGCGGACTTCGGAGTGTCTCACGCTGCATTGTGTGAACTGATTCCTCGGCAATTCAGCCCAACGGCCTGCCTTTTTTTTATTAGATCGAAAACCGGCGGTTTCGCTGGACAAAGCCTGGCCTTCAAGTTGGTTGGTGTCTTCAAACTTGACCACTTGAAGACTTGTGGACTTCAACTCCCAGAATTCTCCAGCCGGCATAATTTACTCTTTTTTAATTCCAGAGAATTCTGGGAGTTGAAGTCCACAAGTCTTCAAGTGGCCGAGTTTGAAGACCTCTGAACTAAGTGGAGAGATTGCAGAGGAAGGGATTACTAGAGAGTAAGTTATGCTGGCTGGAGAATTCTGGGAGTTGAAGTCCACAAGTCTTCAAGTGGCCGAGTTTGAAGACCTCTGATCTAAGTGGAGAGATTGCAGAGGAAGGGATTACTAGAGAGTAAGTTATGCTGGCTGGAGAATTCTGGGAGTTGAAGTCCACAAGTCTTAAAGTGGCCGAGTTTGAAGACCTCTGATCTAAGTGGAGAGATTGCAGAGGAAGGGATTACTAGAGAGTAAGTTATGCTGGCTGGAGAATTCTGGGAGTTGAAGTCCACAAATTGCCAAGTTTGGGGACCCCTGAGCTAAAACGTGGTCCCTACCCGCCTCGCTGTCTCTCCCCCCCCTCTGGCCCCCCCCCCCCCCCCCCCCC